GTTCACTCAATGCATGCTACAGCGAATGCGTTACATCACAAAAACGGGTAAATTTTTTAAATTTTTATATGGGCATAAGTATATAAACATGGGCGGATCCTGGGCGGCCTCCTGGGGCGGGGGAATGGGAGACATTCTTCCTCAGCCTTCCCTCCTTTCGTTGCAACACCCCCTCCGCTCGAGCATCCCGCTACCCACTCCCTCTGTCCCGTTTATCGACCCTGAACTACGGCGACGACTGGAGAGAGGAGAAGAGCGACAAGATTTTCTACAATAAACAGAATTTTCTACAATAAAACAACTGCTACCTGAGCCCCTGGGGAGAGGGGAAGACCCTACCTCCTTCGTCGTCCTACCTACGTCCTACCTCCTTCCTCCTCTCTTTCTCCTAGATCCGCCAGTGTATATAAGTGAGTAAAACCAGCCATCGAGAGCTTCATATGATATGGTAGCGGTTACATACTATAGATTGCATAGGTGAATTCAGGACGGCTTCCTAGACGGGGAGAAGGGAACTGGAGGGAGAGGGGAGGAGGAGGTGTGCAAGAAAGTTTTGTTCAGTTTTAGCTTTAGACCCATACTTCTATAGCACTGGTATCTGTACCGCTGGAGAGAGAGGAGGGGGGGGGGGGCAAAGGCCCATCATCCTCCCCCTGGATCCGCCTGAGACCGGTTGTGGGTGCGAACTGAAGAAATGTTTGGGGTAGAATCCACCAGATGCATGCGTGAGAGTGGGTAAAACTACAGAAGCTTCTCCATCCAGCGTTTATTTCAAAGGAAGCATGGGTCTAGCAATGTTGTTCTTGCTCTGGGACGATCGTCATAATCTCAAACTTGACCAAGTACCAATTATTTATGAGTATTTGTTTGTTTCGGAATTATTTTTCAAGCTAATTATTTCGATTTCGTTTGATTTTGATTTTTTCGCTGCAGAGGAAATGAAAACTCATCTATCAACGGTTTGGGTGGTAACCGATCTGGAAACTGTCGAAGGTAGACTTTTGACTTACAATGCAATCAAACATCTCAGACATTCGCATATCATGCGTGTGGCCATCATCAACAACCCCAAAGATGTAAGTTTTTCTTTTTTTTTCGTACTGAAAATAGTAGTTCTAGAAAAAAAAGGCATTATGACTATTGCTCAATCACAACCGTCATACTGACGAGGTCCAGTTGTGCCGTTAGAAAAGAAATGTATATTATTACTTCACAGATTGGAAATTCTTTTTAGTTATGCCTCCGTTTTCTTCAAATTTTTCACGAAGTAGAAAGACTGTACTCCTAGCTCCCTATTTTCATTTCAAAAGAAAAGAAGGGCACTGAAGTTTTCCCGAAATCTCAGGATTGCCTAAACTCCGACTAACAGATGTTGTAACAATCCAAATTCCCCTTGAGCGAGGTTACAGTCCCTAGAAGGTGCTAGGCCTGTACGAGTGGTGAAACATTTGGTTTGGTTGCACTTTGGAGTCGGGTTGTCTGAGATCGCAACCCAGAGTGGGTGATAAACCTCATCTGAAGCTAATTGCAGCCAGGAGACTGATAGCAAACAAGTATCGTGAGGGGAAGTTGCAAAGAACTTTGAAAAGAGAGAGTTCAAGAGGGAAGTGAAACCGCCGAGATGGAAACGGATAGCGTTGACAAAACTTCTCAGTATTCAACCGAATAATTTAGCCGATTTTACTGTTCTGTAACTGTGTTGGTAAAACACATGGAGAGCATTCGACGAGCTTGCTGTTGAGCTGTATTGGTGTATTTGCCGGTAGCATGCGCCGAAAATTTCTTTGCTACAAAATTAAGACATTTGTGGACGGTCATAATATCTTTATATGTTAAAAGAATCGTCAATTCAGGTTAAGGGAATCCCCTTCTATGGATATATGGAACTCCCCACCCTATCCGTATTTTCGCATTTTGTTTTCTGCTTTAGAAGCATTGTAAATTAGGGCATTAATCTTGCATTTTTTTTTTTTTTTTGGTTTAACGAATCGCATTTTTGTGCGTCCTGTTTGATGAATGTGCTTTACTGAAAGTGTTGATCGAGTGGTGCCACATTTGAGTAAATGTGAGGTAAAATTAAGAAGAGTTTTTGTTCGATAAAGTGCCAAAATGAAATACCCAGATCCTCTTTTTTTGTTTGTAACAGAAATTGTATTTTGTGGCAATTAAAAGGCCGAACTGTAAATTTTAAAATACCAAAACTGGATGGTCTGGAGCAGATAGGGAGCAGCCAGAAGCAACGAATTTTTAACCCCAGGATAAGATTGATTTAATGCGGTAAAGTTTTGAAGTAAAAGGAAAGATTGTAGGTTCAGTTCATGTGGCACGGAAGCGTCGGACATGTATAGAGGGTCATTTGGATGGGAATATGTAGGAAGAAAAAAATCTAAGACTACGAAACTGATTTTGACAATGGCACTATGTCTGGAACTCAAATGATATTGTAGATTGAATCAGCCTCAGCATCGAACAGCATTTCTATGCTCGTAAATTTCGCATCACGCGTACTTGTCCCAAAACAGATGAAGCAGTTTGTAACGAAATTGGTGAAAGAAGAAATCATTTCAAAATTACAAAACATGGAAATAACATTGGATGATATTGCTGTCCATGTGAGTTTAGTTTCACATGTTTCACATCAAATTCGATTACAGCGGTTGTACTGACGAAGTCCAGTTGTGGTAATGGTAAGAAATGTATACGATTTAATGAACTGAAACATTTCTTACGATCATAATAATCTTATTAAAATATTTCTAATACTTTTATTAATTTCTAATATTACTTTCTCTTCTGTTCTTCTTCCTACTTCGAACTACCTTCCTATTACTTCAATATTTTGGCTCTGTCTTGTTTTATAGTTTCGTTGGTCAGCTAGCAGGCTTCCGTTCTGAGAACTATTTTGGACCTCTCTGATCCACATAATTCTGCATAGCAGCTCAAACGAATCTCTCTTCCACACTGTCGGCCTTCCCTGTGTTCTTTTAACATTGCATGAGCACCATTCAGTAATCGAACTTGTTCATATGTCTCTCATTCTTGTCACACAGCCAGCCCACTTCTTCCGAGGCTCAATTCGTCTTGATTATATCGCTCACGCCAGACTGGAATATTGAAAATAAGCTGCAACTTGTTGGCACCTACCCGGTTTTACTTCAGTAAGTAAGATATTTCATGTGTCACCTCGGTGCAACGGGATTCGTAACACAATTTTGAATCGAAAAACTCGTTTTCGCAATCATATTTAATGCACTATGCGGGAGATCTAAATGGCACTTCCAGTGTTTTCATTAGTTATCAAAATTCGGCTGTGTTCCTCTCCACGGCAAGCCAGCAACGCCAAACAAATTGCATATGTTAAGGCATAGGCGATTTTTGGCTCCCGTTCTTTTCCAATCTCCTAGCCAGCGATATTCATTGTTTATTTAAGGGTAAGCTAAATTGCGACTAGAAAAAGTAAAAAGAT